ACTACAGAGGCAGTGGAAACATCTACTTTCTACCAGTTGAGGGGGAGGGAAGGATGATTAGATTGCACTTGGCGAATTCCTAGGGTAGTGAAAGCATTCTGTATGATACTGTAATGATGGATGCATGCCACGACACATTTGTCAAAGGCCAAGAACACATAACACCAGGTGCGAACCTTAATGTAAACTACGAACTTGAAGTGATAATCACGTATCAGTGTCGGCTCATCAATTAGAACACATGTACCCTCTCTGGAAGGAGATGTTGATAATGGGAAATACTGTGAGTGTGGGTTGGGGGAAGGCAGGGTTTCCATGGGGAATCTCTGTACCTTCTGCTCTATTTTACTGGGAACATAAAACTACTCTAAAAAAGAAAGTCTATTAAAAAATAGTACAACCTGAAATCATAAAACTCCTGGAAGAAAACAGGTGAAAGCTCCTTGACATTAATCTTAGCAAATAATTTTTGGGGTATGACACCAAAAGTAAAGGCAACAAGAGCAGAAACCAACAAAGGGGATGACATCAAACTGAAAGCTTCCGCACGGTAAAAGAAATGTTCAACAAAATAAAAAAGGCCACCTAAAGAGACTTCCCTGGTAGTCCAGTGGTTAAGACTCTGTGCTTTCAATGCAGGGGGCATGGGTTTGATTCCTGGCTGAGGAACTAAGATCTGCCAAAAAACAAAAAAAGCCAATATCATCATCGCAATAAACATTTAAATAAATAAAAGCAACCTACAGAATGGGAAAAAAATATTTGCCAGTCATATGTCTGATAAGAGGTTAGTACCCAAAATATATTGAGAAATCATACAACTCAATAATAAACATTCAAATAACCCAAGTAAAAATGGGGAATGTACTTGAATATACTTTTTCCCAAAGAGGACATACAGGTGGCCAACAGGTACATGAAAAGATGTTCAGCATGACTACCATAAGGAAATGCAAATCAAAACCACAATGAGATCTCACTTCATACCTTTCAGTATGTTTATCATCAAAAAGACTAGAAATAACAAGTACTGGAGAGGATGCAGACTAAAGGGCACACTTGTGCAATTTTGGTGGGACTGTAAATTGGTGCAGTCACTATGGAAAATAGTATAGAGGTTCCTCAGTCAGTCGGTTCAGTCGCTCTGTCATGTCTGACTCTTTGCGACCCCATGGACTCCAGCATGCCAGGCCTCACCTCCCTGTCCATCACCAACTCCCGGAGTTTACTCAAACTCATGTGCACTGAGTCGGTGATGCCATCCAACCATCTCATCCCCTGTCGTCCCCTTCTCCTCCCGCCTTCAATCTTTCCAGCATCGGGGTCTTTTCAAATGAGTCAGTTCTTCACCTCAGGTGGCCAAAGTATTGGAGTTTCAACTTCAGCATCAGTCCTGCCAATGAGTACTCAGTACTGATCTCCTTTAGGATGGACTGGTTGGATCTCCTTGCAGTCCAAGGGACTCTCAAGAGTCTTCTCCAACACCACAGATCAAAAGCATCAAT